GTGTATCATGATACACAACCTTTTGTACCATTAGATCCTTATCACCCTGCTTTACAAATTAACTACAAAATAACCTCTTCTAAGCCTGCAATATTTGATACATATAAAAATATACGAACATATAACTTTAAGAAGGCGGACTTTATCGGTTTGTATGAATCACTTCGTCAGGTTGATTGGAACTTTTTAGTAGCCCTCAACGATGCTGACTCTATGTGTCAGGGATTTTATGATAAACTTTATAATATCCTTAATAATTTCGTGCCAATGTCAAAGAATATTAAATGCAAATATCCAAAATGGTATAGTCCTTCAATCATATACAAATTAAAAACTAAAGATAAATATCATCGCAAATACAAGCGCTCGGGTTTGGTCTCTGATTATATTGAATTTTCAAGACTTAGAGCTAGTGTTAAACGTGACGTTACTAATGCATATAAAACATATTTAGCCACAGTTGAAAACAGCATTAAAAACGATCCGAATAGCTTCTGGACATACATTCGTGATAAGAAGGGATCGTCTAGGATTCCTGGTAAGATATATATTAACGGTGTACTTGTTGACAAACCTGACGATATTGTTAATGGTTACCGGAATCACTTTGAAAGTGTATTCTTGCCCCGTGGACAAATTGAACTGGACCAAAGCCATGTCGTTGGTAATAATTGCACCATATCCCTATCTGACATAAGTGAACAAGACCTATTATATGCATTGAAGTCTTTACCAAACAAATTTACTACAGGTCCGGACCTTATGCCTAGCTTTCTAGTTAAAGATTGTGCCGCCGTGTTTAGTAAACCCTTGTTCTTAATATGTCAGAAGGTATTAAACACTTCTAGATTTCCTAAAGTTTGGAAAATTGCAAAAGTCTGCCCTGTTTTTAAGTCTGGCGATCCTGCTCTTGCTTTGAACTACCGTCCAATTTCCATTCTAAGTAACTTTGCCAAGGTCTTGGAGAAGTGTATGCACTCCCATATATATCGTCAGATAAAGCCTTATATTTCAATCAGCCAACATGGATTTATGTCCAAAAGATCTACAGTGTCCAATTTAGCTATCTTTACACAATATGTTGCTAACTCTATCGATTTCAAAAAGCAGGTCGACGTAGTATATACAGACTTCTCCAAGGCCTTTGACAGAGTCGATCATGGTATTTTAGTAAACAAACTATATTTATTTGGTTTTAGCAAGCCCCTTGTTGATCTCTTTATCTCGTACCTTAATAAGAGGGAACAATATGTTTATCACAATGGTTATAAATCTTTATATTATTCAGCCACTTCGGGTGTGCCACAGGGTTCCAACCTTGGTCCTCTATTATTCAACATATTTATAAATGACTTACCCGAAATGCTTAACTGTAACACACTACTTTTTGCTGATGATTTAAAGATTTTCCTGGAAATTGCTGACGTTGCTGACTGTCTTATATTACAAAATCAGCTGTTGAAGGTAGAACAATGGTGTCAACAAAATAAACTTTCCTTAAACAATAAAAAGTGCCAAACTTGCTCCTTTACTTTAAATAAGAAGCCGGTTCATTTTGACTATCTCCTGGACGGTATTCCTCTTCAGCGTACCGATAATGTCAAGGATTTGGGCATCTTTTTTGACACGAAATTATGCTTCAACAGGCACATGCAATATGTTCGATGTTCTGCGCTAAAGATGCTTGGCCTTATTGTAAGAAACTGTAAATCGTTTAATAGTATATTTGCACTAAAATCATTATTCTTTAGCTTGGTGCGTTCAAGGCTTGAGTATGGCTCACTCATTTGGTGTCCATACTATCAGACTCATAGCGACTCTCTTGAGAAAGTACAAAGACGTTTTGTTAAGTTCCTGGCATTTAGGTTAGATGGGGCTTATCCGATAAGGGGCACAAATCAATTAGATATCTTAAATCGTTTTGAAATGCAACTACTATCTGCGAGGCGTTTTATAAATTCGGTGATAATTCTTTATAAATTATTGCATGAACAACTTGATTCGCCTGTTCTCCTATCACAACTCTATTTTCGCATTCCAAGATTGAATGCTAGGTCTACTTCAGTTTTCTATACTCATGGCTCAAGAACAAATATACATTTAATGTCACCCATTCAATTAATGACTCGCAATTTCAATAGTCTACCTGACTGTGATATTAATTTTATAACTTCGGGCTCATTAATTAATATATGTAATTTACACCTAAATAATGTTAACAATTAGTTTATAGTTTTATTGAATTGCATTGTTGTTATGTTTATAATTTATATTTACTTTTCATATTATTTTGTCTTGTAATTGGAATTTTGTATTCTGTTGGGCAAATAAATATATATTATTATTATTATTATTATTATATTATTATTTTCTCTGATTATAATTACAAAATAAAAAAATAATTGTAATTATCAAATTGGTAAAGTAAAAATAAAAAGTACTCAATATTTTTCTCTCATTACAATTATAAAATCAAGTAATAATTAGTAATGATAGCATAATCCATTAAAAAAAATACTCAGTACTCACAACTCTGCTTATTAAAAGGTATAAGAATTATTCAACAGATTATAGCTCAGCGGCTGTGCATTTGCCCTCCAAGCGAGCGTCCACGGTTCCAATCCCAGGCAGGATCTTTAATGAATTTTATTTTTAGTTCAATGAACGTTTTTTTTTGTTGTTGTTATTGTTTTTTGTGCACTTTCTTTCAGAGCAACACTTAATAGTTTTATCACTTTATTTATTTACTTACTCATTTATTATAGTCTTATTCAGTAAAATAATAATTAAATTGAAAGCAGGTCTTACAAGTCTACACTGTGATGCAATTTTTATATTTTAAATGTTACTTAATAGCACCAAAACACACAATTTTCACAGAGACAAGCAATACACGTCTTAACTTTATGGTAATTATTATTATAATAGCCACTTTTATTTCTCGTAAATATTCATCATCAATTTCTTATGTTAGGTTCTGGACATTGTGATGAAGCACAATAATTTTTCTGGATACACATAAATATTAATATCCATTTCAGACAAATTTTTTCTTTATATTGCACAGGAAGGGTTTACTTCTCCATTATAATGTAATGTAATGTAACAGTAATTTAGGCACTTTAGCAGTTTGATAGAATCTGATGTAGACTGAAAGTCTTAAAAATATGTTTAATAAGAACAAAATTTGTATTTAAAAAACATTTACAAAATTGTATACATTGCTTTGTTCTCGTATTATCCTCAAATATAGAAGAAAATCTGATTTCACACTTTAAGGATATAATTTGACCTGAGGTCAATTTCTGATGGTAGTCTGGTTCCTGGGTAAAAAATTTGCCCGCCTATGTTGTATAATACATATATTATATTAGAGGTATAGGACAGTTAAGTATTGTTTAGAACTGGCGGATAGATCAGCCGTTTTTTTAGGTTTAAATTAAAAAAAAAGGAATACCTTTGTAAATAAAGGCGCGTACAGACAGAGAACAGAACATCGTCACGTTACTCTGACGCGCAACATTTTATGTTGCACGAATATATTAGAGCGTCACATCAAAGGAATTATACTGGCTAATGTGGCACTAGGGTTGGGACAGTGGAAATTTTCAATTGAAAATTTCAACTTTGAAAGTTTCAAACTTGAAATATTTCATTTAGTTGGAAAAGTGAAATTTTTAAAAATTTCAAATGAAATTTTTAATCCGAAAATTTCAACATTGCCTGTGAAAGTTTCAGAAATTTCATTGAAAATTCCGCAATTTACTGAAAATTGCCTCCCCTGGGACCTTTAATAATAATTTACAACAGATTCCAAATCGACTAATAAGAACGAGTTATCAAGCGTCTGGGCAATTTTCTTTAGTTCGGCTTGGATTTGAATACACTATAAGTAATTATTGTTACTTATATGCATAAATTAATTTAAATAATTTAATTCAGTAACCAATTTAATTTGTAAATTAAATCAGACTTTAAATTTTTTTTAAAAGTCATGATTAATTTAAACTTTTACTTTTGCTATAATTGTATCGGAAAACGGATAAAAAATGCCTTTGGCTTATAAAATTTTGATGAAGTTTCTTCAATTTTCGTAAAATTTCTGTAAAATATTTAAAAATAATAAATATTTATAAATATAAAACAATGAAAGTGGCACAATCTCATTAGCTTACCAAAAAGTGCTATATGTCTTTTAGTTTTAGTAATTTTAAAAATATTTTTAAAGGAAATCTCAAGAAATTTGTGGTAAACATAGGTATTTACTATTTATATTATTGGTGCAGGGGCCCACAGAGGGGTAGAAGGTAAGAGAGGCAATTTGCCATGGTCCCCGAGTGGGCTTATTTATTGAAAATTTCAATAAATTTCATAAATTTCAAGTGAAATTTCAAGTACAAGCAAAAAGTGAAATTTTCCCAACCCTATGTGGCACCGTGTGGTACTGTACTTCCCTGTTTAAAGAAAACGATTCGGTACGATAAAAAATAATTAAATCCCGATTGCGAAAACGATTGAGTTTCAATCGTGTTATATTCTTTTAAAGTGTATTGGGATAAAATGTTTACAATTTTATTTAATCGAAAATTTCAAATATAAAATAAAATTATAATTATAGCATATCTTAAGGCACGTACAGAGAAGTTTGGACACTTCTCCGCAACACCGCATTTCATTGTTTACTAGTTCTATGTTGAAATGGAACAGCAAAATGTTCGCAAAAATGATTCACGGCGATTTTTTGTTACGTTTTATTTTGTTGCTATACTGCAACCACCGCGCAACAAAAACTATTATCGAAGTAACGCGACGATGATCTGTCTTTATTACCAACAAAAATATTATATCAAAAACCTAGGACATTATTTTAAAATTACAAAAGAAGAAAACAATTTAGGTAAAGGGCCAATTTTATAGCGGTCTACCTGGTTTCAGCATAAAATTTGATATCTCTTACCTTGAAAAAATTGGTCTTAATGTAAAAATATGGTTTATTTTAGAAATTATTTGGAGTAACAATGGACGATTTTGACGAAAGCCACTTGTGTCATGAAACTTTAGATCAACTTAGTAATTTGGTAGAATTAGGATACCTCCAAACAGTTGTAGACAAAGTATTCCATCCACAGGACATTGAGATGGCGCTGGCACATATACAATCTCCAATCTCCATTGGGAGCACAGTCATTACTTTTAGATGATTATAAATTTTATTTATAGGAAAAATGTAATTAAATTGTATATTAATGTTGATAAAAAACTTGTGTTATGAAAATATTTAACGAGTTAATTGGATTTTTACACTCGCAAATTGTTATAACAATATTAATAATTATTATAAAAATGAATGTACAAGTATGTTTTTAAATTATTATATAATTAGTTTATTATTTTTAATAGTCATGGACAACTCAATCTGTAGAGTTGGTTTATCAAATTTCTGACAAAATATGTTGACAAATAGTGCCTTTTTACTGCCAACTGTTTTTATAGTTTTATGTATACAACCAAATGATGTCTAATAAATTATTTGTTATAAAATAGGTTTGTTTTATTATCCATAAATTATATTATATTTTAGGTTAGGTTTGGTTAATTTTAAAACGAACATTTATTTAAACATATTTATTAATTAATTAAATAAAACCTTTAAAAACAACCATAAAATAGATAGAGCTGCATTAAAATCAAATTAAAGCAATCATTGAGAGTTCATATTTCTTTAAAATAAAATGTATTTACATAAACCAATATGTAAATTTTACAAAAAAGCTTTTACTAAAATCTAATGTTAATAATATGAACCATTGGCATCGTTAAAATGATACCACAAAATATATTATATTCATATGTAAAATCTAAAACTAAACATTAATAATAGTGTATAAATAAGCTATTATTTCCACATTAAAAACTCAAGGCAAAATGTTCCCAGCTTTAATACATAATGGAAGAAACTATTACATTTGTCATGGATATAAAGTGTATACTAAACAAATAAACACGTAACACATAAATAATAAAAATAAATTTCTTAATTGTAAGAATTTCAGCTCTGCTATTGTTAAAAGCACTTATTGTCTTTAAAGTGGACAAAATCTAAAAATTTATTAGGGTCCCACATTGTCAATATAATATAGCTCTTAAAGATTGCTGTGCTTGAAAACAATAAATAAATTTCTAAATATACAACAGTTAATTATAACTATGTACCATACATACTCTTATATAAAGATATAACCTTGAAAAATGTACATATGGAATGTGGGTTAGATTTATTTTTTAAATAATTTTTGAACACATTCAAGTTTTAAAGTTTTTTGTTAGTTTTTGAGATTCATCTGTATATCTAAAAATGTAGCACTTTTTAATTTAATATAAAGCACCTTATTCTTAATATTAATATGAGTAATGAATAAATAAAATATATTAAACTTTTGTGCAGTAGCACTTTAAGAAATACTGTGACCATTCACCATAGTAAACTAAAAAGTGGAAAAGTGACTTAATTTAATGAGTTGTGATGTGACAGCACACACATTTATAAAAACAAAATTCCTTAACCTAATTTAAAAAATAGCAAATTGTTTTCAAATATACAAAAGGCCAGCATCTTTTTTCGCAAGAAGATTAATATAAAGCAAAAGCTAAGATAATATAATTAGGTAAAATTTTAATATAATGACCTGTAGTGGTATAATATCTTTTCTGGGTGCTCTAATAGTCTAAAAAAACTTTATTTATTAAAAGTTGTTTTGGTTTAAAATATTTTAATTTATACTGTCTGAAATGGTTTACAGGAGTTTTGTTTTGAGGCCTGTACAATGTTTATAACAATATCAGGGAAGTATCACCTAGTTTTTGGCGCATCAATGAAATGTTATATTAAATCTTAATAAAAATTATAAAATAAATTATAAATTAAACAATTGGGTATTTATTTTTTGAAATTTGCTTTTTTAAATAAATTTAAACCAAATTTACATTTTTTTTAAATCATGTAACAGTACTCTGTAAAATAACTCGTACTGTAACAAATCACTTCCCAAACTGATTACTATTATTTACTTTTTATTGTTGCTGGGCAGTTTGTTGCTGAATTTCTATTTTCTCAACTGTCATGTCTGGATTCATTGCGGTGGCTTCTTGAATAGCTTCGGCCAGAGCGCGGTCGTGATCTATCGGATCGCCGTCGGACTGAATCGTAATCTTTTGCTCTACTCTAGTCTCAACAACACCATCGCGTTCGGTTTTATACTGAATAATAAAAAGCACATTATTATTTATTCAATTTAAATTTGGCAATGATCACTAATTTTGTTTAATACATTTTGTTGTGTTTATAGTAAACAATAAATTGACACTCAACTAATTACATTAATATAATATGTTATGGTTAACTAAAACTATAAAAGTAAAGTAAGTTGCAGAGCCATAAACCTATATGGCAAAGCCTATTAGGTTTGGTTTTTCAGCGGGAGCTCTTGTTTAACATAGAATCCAAATCACGATCCTCTGCCAACTACTTTTTAACAAAGTAGAACTCGACAAATCTAGCTAGATACTTTAAAAACTTGCAGTGTGCGCAAAACATTAAAGAGAAAACGCATTCGGAAGAAAAGAGATGCATGATACCGCCGATCTCGGCCGCACAGAGGACTAATAAAGGTTTAAATATCAACATTATTAAAGTTATTTAAGAGGAAAAAATAGTAAATGTTTGATTTATTTATACAATTAGAATAGAATTATATGTATTTAAAGTAAACAAGAATTTCTTATAAAGTTAATGTAACCGCTTTTATGATAATGGATTTTAAATCCAAATTAAAGTGTAAAGTTTTATCAAATCAAGCTAGAGAGCTGATAGCTAATGTCATTTTCGTTATGCAGCGAGATGCTGCTACTAGCGAAAACCACTAATACTAACAAATCCTCTGTCTGTTTAACCTGTCTTCATTAAATAGTGCCGGTAAGTCCAAAATTTACATAAATTTTAAGATGGATGACGGAAAATAAAAGCAAGAAAAAAAAAACAACCTTGAAGTACAAACCTAACAGCTTTACTATATTCGAGGCTTGTATGGAGGCAAAAAATGACCAGAGCATCGAAAAATACAATCACTTGGCCCTGGGAAGGGAAATATACAAACTTAAAATAAATGATTTAAAACAAATAAAATCCAAGGGCAAAAAACAAAGCGGTTACAATTTGTACATCCCTTACAACAGGGTATCCTGCAAAGGAGTTGCTTTGCGAATCGATACAAACATTCCAATTGAAGAAATTGCTACTGCTACAACATCCCCAACAAAAATTCTAGACATAAAAAGACTGAATAGAAAAGTTATAGGTAAAGATGAAACAGGTAAAACCACAATTGATTATGTTCCTTCTGAAACTATACTGGTCACATTTGAAGGAATAAGGAAGAAGAATTAGTATCTATAATCTACCAATAAGAATTAATCCATACATACCGCCAGTCACACAGGGTTTTAAATGCCTTCTTTATGGCCACACACACAAAACATTGTAGAGGTAAAAAAAATGTCCAAATTGTGCCACTGTACATGAGGAAAACAATGAATGAATGAACTAACAATTTCTACGAATTTGAATCCAATCTTAACCAGAAATCCCTCACACAAGAAATAGAAAACTTAAATTCATCAGATAAGAGTATATTTTAAGAAATGGCTATCAAAGTTCTGCAGTGGAACATACCAGTGTTGTAACGTATCTAGTTACAAGTAACTAGATACAGTATCTAGATACTCTTTATGTATCTGTTTGTGTAACTAGTTAGTTATCCCAATCTAGTAACTATAACTATAAGTAGTTACAAATTGTAAGTAACTAGGTGTGCTAAGATACAAAGATACATTTTTAATTGAACTGCGACTATTATTTATTTAAAAAAAAATATTATAAAAAATAAGTTATTTTAAGTTAAATATTATAAATAAAAATAATAAACATACATATATATTTTTGTTGTCACTTTAAAATTCCCTTTTATTTCTATTTTAAATTTTTTAAAGCAAAAAATAATTTGTATGTATCTTAAAGTATCTAGATACTTTTTGAAGGTAACTGTATCTGTAACTAGTTACTGCAATAAAATATGTATCTGTATCTGTATCTAGTTACAAATTTTGGTAAGTAACTGTAACTGTAGCTAGATACTGAAAATATTGTAACTGTTACAACACTGGAACATACGTAGCGTAAACTCAAACCAACATAACTTAATTGGACTTGTGAGGGACAATAAACCTGAAATAATAATATTAAATGGCTAAAATCTAACCTTAAATTCACCTTTCCGGGATTTGAGGTAATTAGATTGGACAGAGCCAATGGGTATGGTGGTATAGCAATGCTCATTAAAAACAACATTCAGTATAATCATATTAATAAAATCAAACTAACAATGATAGAATCCAACAAATAACTATTAAGATTGGTAATTTAAACATTATAGGTATTTATTGCCCCCCTCAGGACAAATTGTCAAAAAGCTTATTTTTTAGAATCTGCAGTGGGCTGGAAGGACAGATGCTCATTATGGGAGACCGGAATGCACATCACAACACTTGGGGTAGCACTAGGGATAACCATAATGGCAGTTCTATTCGAATTTATTACAGAAAAAACCTTGTTGTTATAAACCAGCATTGCAGTACCAGACTCCAGAATCCGAATAATCACGATAACCCAGTTGATCTATCCATCATATCAGCCGAACTGGCAACCAAAACATCCTGGACCAGAATAATGGACTGTGGCTTTAGCGATCATTGCCCAACTTTCGCCTCAATATTCCCAAAAAACCTTAACATTACATATAGGACCAATATCCCTAAAAGAAAATACAAAAGAACAGATTGGGTCAAATTCTCAAAAGAGTTATATCCCAGAGGTGAGTAAAGACTTTTCCACACTATATGAAGCAATAAACAACAAAGCTGAAAAAATATAATCCCTAAAACCAAAATTAATAAAAAAAACACAAATCTGTGCTCCTTGATGGGACTCTGAGTGTCAGAAATCAAGTAATAAAAGAAAATAAACCCTAAAAAAATTCAATTCAAATCCCACTCTACAAAATTATTTGGAAACCAAAAAACAAATTGCTATTTGTAGAAGATTTTTAAAAAAGGAAAAATTTAAAATTTTTTGTTAATCTGTAAATCGAGAGTCGAAACCCTAAAAAATTCAATTCAAATCCCACTCTACAAAATTAGTTGGAAACCAAAAAACAAATTGCTATTTGTAGAAGATTTTTAAAAAAGAAAAATTTAAAATTTTTTGTTAATCTCTAAATCGAGAGTCGAATATCAATCAAGTATGGAAAGCTCTAAAAAAATTCTCAAATAACTACAGAGCCATTCCACGCGTAACGGATAGGACAGTTGCCGTGTTTTTATTTACAAAATAATATTGTTCTATTTTATTACCAATGTCAAATTTTTATAAATAGTTGTAAACTAAAGCTGTTTAACAAGGTTTTTATTTGGCAAAATTAGGTATCGTGGTTGACTGTTTAATTCCTTAAAAACTAATAATTTAAAGCGTAACGGACGGGACTTTGTAATAGAAAACTCTATAACTCTCTCCAAATTCCAAACAGGCTTTCGAAAAACCAGAAAATATAGTTTATCTAACATCTAACTTTCATCTAGCTTTCAGCAGAAATGAAACCATATTAGCAGTATTCATTGACATAAATTCAGCCTATGACAATGTAAACATTTAAATCATCCATAACTATCTGAAAAAACTAAAAACACCCCATAATTATTCCAATTTAATTTATAATATTCTGGCACATAGGAACATGTTTATTAAAAACTGTGACAACCAAATTCATGGCCCAGCATTGGTCATGAGTGGTCTGGCACAGGGATCCCCACTGAGCCCTTTATTATTTAACATTTACACTCTCTTTAATGTAACTCCCAAAAACTCCACCATATTGGCATATGCTGATAACCTAGTGATCTTTACAAGGGGAAATAATATACAAAAAAAATGACACAAAGCAATAACGAAACACTCGTAAAAATTAACTCATGGCTCACTAAACATCAATTCTCAATATCATCTAAAAAAACCGAATTTATATGGTTCAGGAAAAAAAAACAAACAAACCCCCCCAATAATTAAAATGGGAGGCTATAAAATAAAACAGCAGGCAAATGTTAAGTACTTGGGAGTTACATTTAATGACTTTCTTAACTGGAATAACCAAGTAACGGGAATGATCGCTAAAGCCAACCAGGGAATCAACGTCATGAGGGCAATATCCAGGGTATACTGGGGGGCCGACCCCAAAATTTTATTGATGGTATAGAATGGGTTGGTGAGATCACATTTGGATTTTGGATCAATTCTTTTATACCCCATGCACAAAAGTCTGAAGAACAAGTTAAATTCCACTCAGAACAGAGCCCTGAGAACAATAACTGGTACCATGAAATCCACTCCCATAAACGCATTAGTAGCAGAACGCGCTGAACCCCCACTAACTGAAAGAAGAAAATGGCTTACCACAAAATGTTTGACAAAACTAATTCAATTTAAATTCCATCCTTTATTCTCCATCATCGTGATTTTCACAAATTTTATTCATACCGCGTAAGAAATGAAAATCATACGAACGTAACGTCGTGATTTTCACAAATTTTATTCATACGGACATCATCCGGATGTCACTGCGTGAGAAATGAAAATCATGTCGTGATTTTTTATGCCATCGCTGTTTGCGATTGACCGATGGCACAAAAAATCATGTCGTGATTTTTTATGCCAACGGTGTTTGGATAATCATTTTTGCGCCACGTTCGTACACTAATGGCGGGTTTATACAACTTCATATCATTAATTTATTTCATAATTCACAATTTAGTGCATAAGCATAAAAGTTAAATCGCACTATCTGCTATGAAACAGTTTATACAAGGATTTAATGCGTAACTCTCAATTTAGTGTTTATTTAATAACCTTGAAAGTTCACAAAATTTAACTTTTATGAAATAAATTATGAATTATAAATAAAATTACACCGCGCATGTGCCAACAATTTTTATCTCTCCATTTTATAAGGTTATGATTAATAATTATTGTGTTTTGTGTTTGTGCCTTAAAAATACTACAAAGTTTCTACATAACATGAGTTTCAATGATGGATTTTGTGTCACTTGCAACTTTCAATAATCAATATTGTCAATTAAAAAAATAAAATATTTAC